ACCACACACTCAGCGAACGAGCCGCAACACGTGCGCAGCTCGCGGGCGCTGGCATATTCAACCTTGATGCACACCTCGAGTGATGAGACACGGCAACTCTCCATCACCTCCCTGACTGCCTCGCTATCCCCGCCCCCGTACATTTCCCAACCGATAGAGATGTCAGCGCGTTCCTCTCTGTCTAAGTCAAAGTCGTAGCGCCGTCTGTCGCATTGGATGTCATACTTCAGCTGTACTGGTAAGTCGTTGCCTTCGCCTGACACGAACTCGAGGCCATCAGGCAGCAGTGTGCATGTGGCCTCAGGGTTCGCACGGGCAGACAACTCAAAACGCACCTTCTCTAGGTAGGGGGAGAGGGCATGCAGCACACCACCCGCCCCACCATCAAAGACACACCTGCCCTCCCAGCTCTGCGACATCACGACAGATGACACACTCGGAAAGAGCGATATGGGGTCGTCTGTGATGTATGAGGGCAGCTTGCGGACGCCGGGGTAACGCACGATGGTGAGCTCGTGGGCATGCTCAAACACCAGCGAGTCCAGCCCGGGGGCCTTTTCGATGGTGCTGTCGTACGCGTGGCTGTCGAGGGTCACCTTCTCGGCCTGCTGGCAGCACACCTCCACCGTCGAGAGGGAGTCGGTGAGGGTCTTCTGGTCGCCTCTGAAGGGCAGGTGGACGATGGGGCCGCCCTGCAGCTCGCCCTCCTCGATGCCGTTGAAGTAGTCCTCGCGCGCGTCAGGGGCGAGGCACTTGGTGCGAAACCGATGAAGATTCTGCCGACGAACACGGAGACGAAAGGGTCGGGGGGATAGCCATGGATGCGGAGAGAAAGTGACTGTGTTTCTTCCTCACCTGTATCTTGTCTGTGGAGTAGATCTCTCCGATGGCCATCTCGATCTCCTCCAGGGGGCCTCCCCCATCGACCGTCGAGCCCAGCAGATTGAAGTAGTAGTTGTTGAAGAACGCGATGCGGCCAGTCAGCGACGTGAGGCTCTTGGCTGATTGGCGCACACACAGAGGGCAAAATGGGGAAGGCGTGAGGCCAGAAATCAGAGCTGGCTTATGTGTCGTGTGTTTCTTCACCTGATTCTGTGTTCTCGAGGACGTCTCTCACTCGGTTGAGACTCACGGCATTGCGACAACTTGGATCATCCTGCAGACAGAGAATGAATGCATGAAGACAAGTCGTCCACACCCCAGGCTGTCCCTCTTTCTTTTTACCGACCTTTTCACATATGATGTGCAGCGAGTTGATGCCCCCCTGAGCCTCCCGGATCCACGAGCGCGGCGCACCCATGTCGACGTCCACCACGCCCAGTCCCTTGAGTGACGGCATCTGGTACAGCCGGTCCTCCGCCAGCTTGGCCCACACCCTGTTCACGCTGGCCGACTCCACACGCTCAAACACGATAGGGTTCTGCACGGAAACAAGAAAGAAAATGATGAATGCCAACAGTCATTTTTATTTTGTCAGTCAGCTCCTCTCCCTGACCTTGTTCCGTGGCAGGTAAATCTTCGTCATGTTTCGCATGTCTCGGTACATGGACCGGTCCAGCCGCCACTGTGGCTTGCGCCGGCCGTTCTTGTAGGTGGTGGCACACTCGAAGGGGCAGTGCAGGTCCACACTCTCGACAGTGGCCGAGAGGCGCTCCAGCAGACACACCAGGGACGCGGTGGGAGGGTGGTAGATGCGCACGTCAACACACTCAGACAACGGACCTGACCACAACAACACACAGCACACCACACATCGCCGCACGCACATGGAGTGCCGCTTTCCGTCTTTTTCCCGCCCTCCTCACCGGCCGTCCACTTCTTAGCGATTTTCATTTTGGGTGAGTCCTCCAGCTCGACGATGGGGTGCATGCCGGCCTGCTGGGTGAGGTGGTGGAAGAAGCTGTTGATGCTCGCCAGCGACTCCAGGCACGACACGAAGCCCAGCATGGCGCCCATCCCCACACCGTTGGCCATCCAGAGGGCGTCAGGCAGACCCTCAAGCGGCGATGTGACCTGACACATCAGAGGAAAGGAACGGAGGTGGATTCCCTCCTTCTGTGTGCTGTCTTGGGTTGTGTTGTGTTGACCTGCTCGGTGTCGTCTTGGTCCATTTCGTCGAGTTTGTGTCGGATGGCGTCCAGTTTGCGGGTGTTCTCCTTCATCTGCTTGGTAGCGACCTTGTCCACGTGGCTGATCTGCGTGTTGGCGTCGGCACACACCATGCTCGACCACACGCGGATCTGACGGTCAACCTCCTGAACAGCACCACACACATACCAGAAGAGGCTGTGTGGGTTGATGTCGGTTGGTGTGTGTGTGGTGTTGGCCATGACCCACCCACTCACCTGGATGCGGTGTTGGTGTTCGAGCGATTCGGCATCAGGGGCGGCCTTCCTCAACTCATACACCTCACGAGCCTGCATGATGGCATCAATACACACACGTGATATCACCACAACACACGTACTCCCTACCCCATTCCGCCAGCCTCTCTGTTCCACGAAGTACCTGTTTCTCGGCCTGTTTGGCCTGCTTGAGCTGCGCCTCGAGCTTCGCCGTCATCTTCTTGAGAGCCTTCAACGCGTCCTCAGGACCAACCTCAACCACATCCTGCATAAATCAACGAAGCCAAACCACACAACACACGGAAATGCACACCCACCACCAGCCTCAGCAGCCCTCTGCATCCCTCAGTGCTCACCTCCATCTCCTCGTCGCCGTCCGACACCTCCATCTTATCCCTCCCGCCGCCCTTCTTATCGCCCTTACCCTTACCCTTCTTATCCCTCCGCTGCCTCTTCTTGCGGGCCTTCCTGCGCCGCCCTCCCTTGCCATAGTCGGAGCCCTCCTCGTCACTGCTGCTGGTGTGGGCGTCCATGATGGGTTTGCGTTTCTGCCCGCCGCTCGCCTTGAGCAAGGCCAGCTGCCGGGCGGTCATGCGATGGTCGTCCTCACCCTCGCCTGCATCCTCCATGGTGAGAGGGAGGGGGCGGATGCAGATCTGCCGAACGCAAGGCACGGCGGGAACAAACAACCTCAGCTTTTAACCAAATGCAAAGAATGAGATCTCGCTGGCCAGGATCCGGTGATTTACAGTCCGGACCGCGTAAGTGGGTCACCGCATAAGCGGGTCAATTGCGTATGTGGGTCAGCCCCTCCCGATCACTCTGTACACAGTCAAAAACGGACCGGATAACCGGGTCAGCTCCCAAAGAGACTCAAATCAGCCATCCAAACCGACCACTCATGGCTCAAAATGACCGCAAGGCGATGAAGAACCTCTCTGTGAAAGAGCGGACCGATGAAAGAGTGATTCCATGGAGAAATACAGACATTTTGATTGTCATCTTCTGAGACGAACCATTCTGACTGTGATTTGCCGACAAAAAGGCGAGTTTGCTTGGCGAGGTTGATCATGATGTAAACGGAAGAGCAGCTGCTTCACGTTTGAGGCACGAACACCCATTTGTGACAAGCAAGAGGGTGGTCAACAGAGTCACCTGAGGCATCTGGCGTCATTCATCCAGCCCTGATGTGTTCGGCCTTCTTTCCTCCTCATTCATTCCATGCATGATGCATCACTTCACCCTCCGCCCACCCACCCACCCCATCCGCCCACCCACTCGATTTGATGCCATTTCGACTGATGCATTCACTGCTGCAGGCGCTGGGGAGGCATGATTTATGTGATTTGTTTCCTGTAAAGCTGGCTGTTCATGCCTTTCGTGCCGTTATGGGCCCATCAGACACCGTTGATGACGCCAAGTGCATGTGTCGACGACGAATCTTCTTGCAAAATCACTCAGGCTGCATCACTTTGCGTGGCGTGTGTGGAGATCAACGATGAATCAAACATTCGGAGACATCCAAGGGCTCTCGCAGCCATCCAAGGTCTGATTGAATGAATGAGAGAACCGATGGTTTTTCGTCGTTTTGAGTGACTTTGAGCGAGAAAAAAAGAGTCAATGGGCTTCTGAGAGGCTCCTGTGATTCATTCACAGCGAGATATCACTCCAAAAGTCGCTGGAAAACAAGTGGGTCAGCTCTGTAGTACGTATAAGCGGGTCAAACGCGTAAGTGGGTCAGTCCTGTACTGACCCACTTACGCGGTCCGGACTGTACATCCATCGCTCCCTTGTGGCTGAACTCTCTTTCGCGGCTGCTGAGCTCTCCTTCTCTCTTTCGCCCCGCCCCTGATGCAGACCGACGCCCGTCCTGCCCGCCCGAAGCGCCAGGCCGCCATTCAGGCCGCTGCATCTGCTGCGGCTGCTGTGCAGATGAAGCGCAAGGCAGTGGATGAGCTGACGGCGTCGTGTGAGAGCAGCAGTGGCTGCAGCGACTGGGAGGAGGGTCGACGTGTGCGGGGCGCCAAGAACAAGCGCAAGGCGCGCCGCCAGGGCAACAAGACCGTCAAGGGCAAGGGAGGGGAGGATGGGGTGGGCAAGAAGGGTGAGAAGCGGGCCAAGAAGACTAAGGCACTGACACCTGACGTGGACATGGAGGTATGTGTGACCACACACAGAGGGGGAGATGTGCGAAGGAGCGAGATGGACGTGTTTGGCGTTGTGTTTGTGTGTTGTATCACCCACCCATGTGTGTGTGCAGGATGTGTTTGAGGTTGGTCCTGAGGATGCGTTGAAGGCTCTGTCCAGGGTGGCTCAGAAGCTAAAGGCGCAACTCAACATGATCAACGAGGCCAAAGCAAAGGTACACACGTGGGTGGGTGCAGTCAAAAGCAAGAGAGTCAGGGAGGGAGGGGATGAGAGAGCAGATGAGAAACAGATGAATGTGTTGTGTTGATTCATTGATTCGTTTGTTCACTCACTCGTCCAGGCTGAGCAAGTGTTGGATGTCAAGATGGCCATTCCCGAACCCGACACACAGACCAAACAGAATCGCATACAGGTGGGTGGGCAACGACACACACACACACATCGAACACAGCACACCATATATGGATGTGGCGTGCCTTCCTGGCCTCCCTTGCCTTTGTGGTATGTTGCAGGAGGTTGAGCGTCACTTCCGCGTGTGGAAGGCGATGGTGATGAAGGACGCCAAGATGCAGGTGCGCAACGCTGACGGGCGGCGGCAGAGCAGATGGAAGCATGCATCAAGAAACTCGAAGCCATACAACACACAATGAACAATCTGGACAAAGAGGAGGTCAGTCCCACCGCAGGCACACGGAGAGAGAGGGGCAGGGGAGGGAGATGGTGTCCACCGATCACTGTCCCCCATTTCCCCTGTGTCTGTGGTATGTCATCAGTTGCGTTCTGGTTTGGAGGAGTTGCCTGAGGCGCTGTGGATGACGACCGAGGAGGGCATGGGGCTGGGCGCATACCTCGGCTTCCACCCTTTCATGACCTCACTCGCCCCCGTCTGCACCCACTTCCACACCCTCAGCCAACAGGCCCCCGTCCACCCCATTCTCGACATACACACCGACCCACCCGAACACATCGCTAACAAACTACCAGGTGACGTAGAGCAGACCACACACACTCTCGTCTGTCTGTGTCATTCCGTCCTTGTTTCTGTGCTTTTCAGCTCGTTTGTCTGAGTGTCGTCACTTGGCTGTGTACCACCGCCCCACTGCCACCCTCGTCCGGCTGCTCGAGCAGTTCGCACCCCACATCGAGACGGTCAAGCTGCAGGGCCCCACCCAGCCACCCAAGGACAGCAAGGGCAGACCACGCAAGGTGCGGCGGGCGTACAGGAACGACTACGAGGACATCAACCTTGAGTGGAACAGCAACACCCTCTCCTTCCCCGAGCTCCACACGGCGGCGGTCAACAACGTGTGGGGCAACGTCACGCGCGGTCGCAGGTATCGGCTGCCGGCACTGCGACATCTGACTGTGGTGGACCTCAACAACACGGGACACGGCACCCGTGACGCATGGCTGAACAACAACGCGGCACCCGGCATGTCATCGCTCCACTTCACCTATGATCCGGTGGGCAGAGGGAGCAGAGAGGAGAAGCGTGCTGCCTGCATCGGCCATGCGATGTTTCATTTTTCCATGCAGAATGACCCCAACTGTGACGACATGGTGCGCCTCGACCAGATCAAGGAAAGCATCCAAAACACCGAGACAGGTGGCTTATATCGCAGACATCACACACATGTGTCGGCACCACTCTTGGCTGTTGCTCCTTGTCCGCATCAGCCGAGAGCCTGACCAGTCTGACAGGCCGCATCACCATCCAGGATCGCCACCAGTACCACGGCTACTTCTGGAACTTCTACCATGGACACTTCGGGTACCGCTTCGGGGGCCAACAGCAGGACAACAGACCGGCCGTCGACCAATTCAAGAGCCTCTTTACCGGCCCCAACTCCCGCAACAAACACGGGCTGCGCAAGGTCGAGCTCGCCCTGCCCGAAATCAATGGAGAAGGCACCATCCAGGTAGGCCTTTGAGCCATCCATGGGTGTTATGACACGCGCAGTCACCCCTTTCCCTTTGTGTTGTGTTGTGTTGTCGTTGCTTCCGCAGAAGTTGCATTCGTTTCGCACCTCGTGTTTGGCCGACGGCGCGAGCGAGACCTACAACCACGCCCCCGCCCACGGCCCGCCGGAGGGCCTTCGTGTGCGTCTGCCCTTCACTGGGAGCGCCAAGAACCTCACAGCCGCCATCGACACCCTCAGGGTCTGCTGCCAGCAGGCCAAGCACGTGACCCTGCAGTCACACGGCAACCAGGGCAACTATGCCAAGAGCAACCCCCAGCTCGGCTCGGTCGTCTTCTCGTCTGCTCGTGTGCTCACTGTCGAGTCGAGCGGGTACGTGCAGGTGTCTGATCTGCCTGCCTACATCCGTCAGAACAGCGGGTCGATGTTCCCGAATGTCGAGTCTGTGGTGTTGAAGGATGGGGGGCGTGGTGCTGCATTCTATGAGCGTGGTGTGGGTGATGTGCTGTCGGGTCTGACGTCGGCCGACCATGTGCAGTTTGATCTGTCTGCCCGTGCCGACCCCGATGCTATGCTGTGTCTCGTGCCTGCTGGCTGTGCGTTTTTTCCGGCTGCCGGCAGCGACCTCGCCGTGACCATCAAGGCCACCATCTCCCTCCACAATGGGCACTATGGCATGTTTGATGCCGAACAGCAGCCAGGCCAAGTGCATCACTCAGTGCAGTGGCAGTTGTACGGTGGTGAGGGTGAGGCAGGCAGGCAGGTGATGGCCGGCCGTCTGGCTGCTCTCGAGGTCGACATGAGCAGGCGCTACAGAGAGATGCGTTTGAGTGAGAATGAGGCCAAGGCCATGTTTCGCTCGTTGGCTGAGGCGGCCGCTGCGGCCTTTGCGAGTTTTCCTAAGTTGAAGGGCATTGTGGTGTCGCCCTTTTCGCACAGGCCCAAGTTCGGTCTGGTGGGTGTGTTTCGCGAGGCAGGCCAGAAGAGGTTCACTGTGTCGCATGGCGAGGGCAAGACCATCGTGCTGCGACCCAACACACACACCAACAAGAAGAACAAGAGGCAGACAGGCAGCAAGGCCACCAAGGACAGCAAGGACAGCAAGGGAGACAAGGCCACGAAAGAGGCTGCGGCTGCCTGAGTGAGCGTCGTGTCTCTCCCTGTGTGTCGGTGTACGTGTGTGTTGGTGGAGCAGACTCAGCAGAGAGGGGCGGGCCGCTTCATGTGGGTGGAGGTGGGTGCTGTTATCCTCACTGGATGATGGACGGTCCCATGTCATCTCAGAAAAAGACGCCGTCTGCCCCCGTGTACTGTGTTTGTGTGTGCAGTGCGTCTGTTGCATGGTATCGTATAGACAGCGACTGATCGCAAAGTTTGACCCTCAGAAAGATTGAAACAGCGCGTCTGTCTTGTTCCACACGCATACGGTACACACGTACATGATATGAACCACGCAATGCAATGTAATGCAGCGTACGCCACACACGCAACCCCCTCATCTCATACACACCCACCCATTGGTATTAGCCATGCAGCCAGTGTCGTCGTGTGTATGTATCTATTGCTTACTTACAGGCGTCTTGCCGCACGCCCAAAACTGTCAGTCATGAATGCATCGCAACAACACAGCCAGCAGCATTACACTCGCCCCTCACACATACACTTACAAGTACAAGTACACGTCAACACAGACATGGTGTCGTCAACACATCAACACATGCATACATCAACACATCAACGAGGGCATGCAATGCATCAAAACGCCGAGAGAGCCGGGCAGGTAGGGTACGTAGGGAGAGCAAAAAGAGCACTCACGTACACAGAGACAGACAGACAGACAGACAATCAGACACCCAGACAGTGATGCAGACCCGCATACTTAACACACGTCGCCGCAGGCCGAGCAGAAAAAGCGCTGCAGGCGGCGCGACTTGGCATGGCGGCTGCCTGGCTGGCTGCCTGTCTAGTGTCGTTCAAGACAAATTCCCCACGCCCCCCCGTGTTGATACAATCAATGGTCAGTGGCCCCT